AAACCCGGTGAGTTAATTAGAAATGGTATACAATATCCAAACATAGATTATCAACGTTACCCTAGGGTGTCACTCCTGGTGCCAAGACCATGTTTGTAAAAGTTACACTTAGTGTAGGTCAGCTCGGATATTCACCTACGGAACCTTGGTGTCTGGTCTGTAACGGTTACGTTATGTGCCATCGGCTAATTTTTATTCTTTTTCCATTTTACAATAAATAATGTGCCCCACAACACGGTATCGTCCGATCGCGGAATCAAGTTACCTTACTAAAATTGATATCGAAATGATTTACGGCCGCACAAAATACTGACACATTTCTAAACGACCCGGTGAACACCAAGTCTGTAACCGGGATACCATGAGACACCGGGTCTGTGTAGGGAGTCCGTTGTCACCCCCAACGACACGGGTGTCATTTACCACCAGTACACACACACTTACACGTGTGGATACACAAACGGGCTGAACGAGGTCGGTGTTGAAATGGGGTCAGAAGGACAGCCGAGGGATAAACGAAATTACCGCAGTCATAAAAACGTTTTTGTTTGAATTGTTCGAACAGACATAAGGGCATCCACTCAAAAAAAGTCATTTACTGATTACTAAAATACCCTCATTATTACCACCCACAAAAAGATATGGGAGACCCGGAATCAAAAGGGAGACNGCCCAATAGCCGTAGCGCCACTTCTGTGACGTCATAGAAGTGTTCAAATCTGGATCAGTCTGTATCAGATCCGTTGCAGCCCCTTTTCAAGAGATTTGGGTATGGAGGAAAATAGAGAGGGTTGTGTTTTCTGACACTTGGTGAGTTCCCTGGAACACCGGGGACACATATTCATGTATAAAAGACGTACAAAAGCGCATTTTGCATGATAGGTCACCTTTGAATCAATTCAAATGTTCTGTTTTTTGAGCAAGGTGTAAGACAATCTGCAATCTAAGTAATGCTTTACTGCATATGTTCTATACACAGACATTAGAGAGCGTTCTAAATTGAACAACAGATGTCCGAGTATTGAGCCTTGTGGGACACCTGTCACCATTTTGGAAGGACTATATTTTCTCCCAGAAAGAAAATTCTGCACTTTCAATGTACATCCACTAAAGTGCTTATTTTTTGCCACCGACAGTCTCAGATTGTTATTCAAAGTGTCTAACCCACAGGATGGGAGGGAGCCTACATAGGATTTGTTGGGGATTTTCTGGGTTCTTCTTTTCAACAACAATAAGTTGGACTTACTGTACACATCGAACTATGACATCACTACTCAAACTCTCACTCATGTTCGCAATGTTGTCCTCTCGCAAAAAGTAACATGACCCAAAAATAAAACAATCAAGCAAAATGTTCAATTTAAATCAATCAATGTTTATTTTCTCTGTAGGGTTACATACAGTGGTCAAAACACTTATATTATTAATTCAAGCCTGTATTACCGGAAGCCAGGTGCAGCGTTGTGGCTTAATAGTCAATATTGAGCCAATTAAAAATGCGCTGTCCCCATTAGTCACTTAGACACAAAAACGTGGGGATTTAAGTTGCAGGTTAAAAAAATAACAAAGACCTGCTAACCAATTATTCTAGATATTTAGAAAGGCAGTGAAGCTTAGATGGATGAGAAAGGGTTTATAAAATATTTAATTAGAGCTATAGTTGATACAGATGTTCCATTCATGTACCCATATACAATTCATTTTCATGGTGCTACTTACCAAAGCGGATCCAGGGGGACAGCTGGCTAAGGCCTGCAATGTTTGGGTCGTTGCGTTGAGTAGCGAATAGTTTGAGGCGTTCATCAATGAAGGACTCCAACATGGCCACCCCTCCCTTGGTGCCCGGCATAGCCCACTCCGGCTCTCCTACATCTTGGTCTACCTGCAGGGAGGCTAGGGTTTTTTCCCAGTCTATGAGCTGTAAGATAAAACAACATTTTAAACAATCGACCCCATTGGGTGGGTTATCTCTAAGCTGTTGAACATTCATAACAGAGCTGGCAAAGTAACCAATCAGAGCAGACCTGGCTCTGGTTTTCAGACAGAGTGTGAAAAGAGGTGCTGCAGCATAGGCAGCATGAGAACTTGTTGAACATTAAAGCATGTTCACATGTCACAGTGGGGGTACAAAATACAAATACGAACCTGAAAATTAGCAGAATTGGGCCCTATTAACATATATTGCTTGTAAGGACATTTTAACTTTTGGATGGCACATTACTATTAATATCTATTAGTCAATAATTAATGTGCAGAGAGGAACTCTTCCGGGGAGTACATAAGTTTTTTTATTGCAGACTCAACATCTTACTGTTGCTTATAGTGATATCCGAAAACACTTTTGATAAGATAAATGATGATCATGTCATCCTAACCAATTCAAACGCCATTGAATGTGACACAAAAACATGACTTATTTTGTACTCAATAGCAAAAAAACTCTTACTGCAGCACTTACTTTGGCGGTTATTGTCGTTGTGTAGGGGTGTTTTTCTGCCAGAGGAAAGTCAGTGAGGAACTGCGGGAGAAGCTTTGTGAGTTTTCCTCTGATTGTCCTGGCGGCGTACTCAAGTTTAGGTGAGGCTACCCAGCAGGGGACAATATTGTGGGCATCTACCTACAGAAATGAAAATCATATATTTTGTGACAGATAAAGAACAGTAGCAATAGTGACAGTACACATACACACAAATCAAAGCAATCTGCATACAATAAGACAGAGTGTGATTACACTGTCTTAAATCTATTTCTTTGTGACGAGTACAAGAAATAAAGCAAGGACATAATCAGTGAAAAATGTGGGGAGAAGTCGAATAACCAAAATTCAGAGAATCCTATTGACACAATGAGTGAGAGTGTCTACCTGTATGAGGGGAATATCTTTTGGAAGAGTCTTTTTAACATCCTCCAACCACTGCAGTGGCTCTCTGAGGGGGGAGAAGTCTGTTACCACTGCGCCCAGTTCTCGATCAGACACAAAGCCGGGGAGAACGTCTCCAGCTGAACCATGGAGCAGGTGGAACTGGATGTCTAAGGCTTTGCACTCCTGTTTAGTGAGGGCAAAACAACAACAATGAATATGAGTAAAGGTGCAAAGAAATTGAATGTCATGTGTAAAATGTATTTGTATTGCCTTTATGTAACTCACAGCAAGCTTTAAATGAATAACAGAGGCCCAATAATTGATCCTTGTGGGACAGCTGTGAATAATCCACAATACCTGTATCAGATCCCTAAAGCGTATGTCTCTAATCTGCTTGTTTCAGGTTAATATAATCTAATGTAAAACAGCACAGGGCTGCCCCTTCAATTAATTGACTAGTTGGTTATAATTGGTCTAAACCAATCTAAGATTTCTTTAGTCAATAAATAATTGTTCCATACTTTGAGAATCTTCCAAGCAAAACTCTTGTCAGATGGTTCTTTAGAAAATCTTTTCGGAGGAACTCCGTTTTACAGATCTGTTGATTAAATAAACAAATCAATCAGTCGACAAAATTGTCTCTTTCGTAAAGGACAGCCCTATAACAACAAATCCTTGCAATCAAGAAGCATAATTAAGAGAAGGTCTGCATGTTTTAATCACCATTGTAATTGATTTATTCTCTGCCTATCCAAATAATTGTTTCAGGCATACATGCAATAAAAATATAGTCAAGCTAGCTTTAAGTTTTCATTATACAATAGTATTATATTAAACAAAAAGCGATGCATTATTTAGGGACTGCAAGTATTTGGTGTTATTGCTTGAACTGGTCGATGTGCCAACCGAAAAATAGACAAACTAAATCATGCATTTTGATTTGATTGATTGTATTTTTTATATTTATATTCTTGGTTTTGCAGCACATCTTTTTATTTTTTATGGTGTACATAAATACCCCAAAGCAAAAGCCTTGTCTACTGAATGTACTCTACTCGGTGCATTTAAAAGTCATGACATGAATACCTTTTCGACTTCTTTCAGACCTTTCAGCATGAAGCTGTAATGTCTCAGGGTGGATAGCTCTGATTTTGGGACAAACAGGCACAAACAGACGTGCAGAGGAAGCTTCTCCTTCAGAGCAAGCTGCTGGGCATGGATCAGAGCCCAATTATCTGAAACAAACAAAACATGTTGACCACTGAGAGGACACAAGTCAATAAAAATGCCCTTGTTGCTGTGTTAGTGTTTACCTTGTACTCTGTGGTCTCGTGACATCCAGTACAGGACACCCTCTGAGCCCTGCTTTATCCTCTCAGTGTTAGATGTGTAGCGGAGGCGTTTTCTGTTGAATTTCATCTGCTTGTTCTTTGTCCTCTGATGCTTCAGACTGTCCTTCAGCCAGCCCTTCTCCTTCGTGGGATCCAGCTTCTGCTGCTTAGCACCGGGCTCCTTAACAGCAGAAGCAGCAGCAGATGTAGACTTTCGTTTTTTCTCTGACATGATGGCTTGACTGGTGAATGCCTTGGCCTTTGTTGAGAATAATGAAGTGGGTCCCTGATCACTTTGGGCGACAACTTTCAAGTATTGCCTCAAGAAAGATGTGCTGCAGATAAACCACATTGAACATAGTGAAATACTAAAGATACCACGTGAACGTTAGCCAAACATAAGAAAAACATAACAGAAGTACGAACACAAGCCTATGAGCTAAGAAACATTAGCGACACATTAAATTATAGAAAAAATGCCATCAACACGACGAAGTTAACTTGTTATTCAAACTACACGCACGTGGAACATGTAACTTACCTCCTGCAAATGCTCTGCAGCATACAATGAATAGTAACGGCGGAGCTAATTTAAAGCCGGCTAAAAATAAATACACGACAGAAACGTCCTTTTAACAGTCGAACAATGAAAAACGCGTTAGCGGGGTGTTGCATTTCCTTTATAGAACTAGTTACATGAGCAATTCAATGTTACGGTTTTGTAACACACTGTTTTGATTGGATTTAACTACATTTCCAAGAATGCAACGTGATTTAATGTCTTGAAAGCGCATGCGCAACGCAGTTTGGAGGAGGGTAGTGTATTTTTGTAGCGTAGCCTCAAAAGGGACTAACAGTTAGCACGGCTGCCAACTACTACTACTATAATTTCCTTTGCACTCAAGATTTATCGTGATTTGATAGTATGAACGGTGATAATGCAGCAGCTAGAGGGAGAACACCTGCGGTTACGGACAAAGTCGACATGTCATTAGGTAAGGTCCTCGATAGAAACACTATAAAGTACTAGCTAATGCTAGCCACTGACAAATGGTAGGTTGTCAGTAGGTAGCTAAATATACCTAATTTGAGTATTCAGACGCTCACATTGCTCTTGTGTTACATTGCACAGATGACATCATTCGGTTAAACAAGAAAGAGCAACAGTTACAGAGGAGACAGGCCACAGTGACCCGCAGACCAGTGAAAAAGAAAGGCCGTCTGACCCAGGGAAAGGGCTTCACAACCCAGAGAGGTGTGTGTGTGTGTGCGTGCGTGCGTGCGTGTGTGTGTGTGCTCTCTCCCAGCTGTTGTATGCTGGTAACATGAACCTTTTGCATGTTATTACTTTCTCCGTACATGTGTCGCTAATATTATCTTTACCAGGAGGAGCAGCTAAATTAAGAAACAGAAGGGTCCCTCCCCCACCTGGTCGACGGCGGGGTCAGGGGGTTATCACCGGGCTGGCAGCACGGCGGCCCGGGGCCCTGCTGAAGAGGGTCGGTACCCTGAACAGAGCCGCAGTCACCCAGGTAATGGAGACATACTGGAGTGGAGACATGTGGGATGTATTGTTGTCAGATCAGATGTGACAGTCCCCAGGCAAATCACAACATCAAGAAGGCAGCCTTTATTAATCCCCTGGGGGAAATTCAGGTTTCACACTGTTTTTGTTATTCAGGTATAGTTCAAATACACATCTGCATTGATGGAGAGGTTTCAGAGCAAAGGAGCTGCCATGTTTTGGCATCCAGGAGCAGAAGGGTTCAAAACAATAAAACATAGACTTAAAATATAGCCTGGCCATTACAAACATATTTATAAAAAAATGTGCATTCAACGTTGTAATGTGTGAGTTGATCTTTGATCTTTCAAACCTTTATTGTTTTGATACTTTATCCATAATAGGCGTACCAACTGTGGACCCCTACTGCTCTATGCCGCCTTACATACCTATCTTCAACGCATTGCAGTTTGCCGTGTATAAGTGTACATTAATAGGCAAAACATTTATTGTATGCTTTTATTCAGCATCCCACTTGTAGGTACGCTATTTAAGCTTGATATGATGTTGCTAAAATGTCCCTGAACATCAATATATATCAAAAATATATTTACATGCACACAAACCTATATAACACACAACAGGAAAGGGAAACCTCAAAAAAGCGTAATAGGACCTCTTTTTAAATGTTCTGTCCACTGAGACACCACATCTTAAATACAAAGTATAGTGGAGCATTTTGGGGGGGAAATGTAAAGTAGTGGTGTTGATGTCAATATTTGGCCTAGTTAGGTTTACAAACTTCCTCCTGTGGAATTGGAAGATATAAACACAGCAGTTATTTTTATGTTAAGAAAAAGCCCAAGAAGAATGAATGAATACATTCTATCATTACATCAGTGTTTCCCCTATATACAAATAGTGGCGGCGCAGCGCTGCTGCTGAAATATGAGCACCGCTGCTAGGGGGCGCCAGCCAGGTATTGTTTGTTATGTGGATTTGTAGAATTTCTGTTACTGGCA